CTAGTGTTGTATTTCGTGTTTTTAAGAACGTTGTTGTGAATGCACTTTTGCGCATATTTTTTACATGTACGTTTGTGCATGTCCATTTGAGCGAGTGTGGTTGTGCATGTTTGTGGATTTGTATTCATGTCCTAGGATTGTAGTTTGTGTTTTCATGATCCTTTTTGCGAATGCACTCTTGCGTGAGTACTTTTGTGCAGGCTTTTGTACTTTTACTTATGTACGTATCTTTTGTAGCGAGTGTTTTTGTGCACGTTTATTGATGCGCATTCGTGTCCTCGAACTGTAGCATGTATTTTCATGATCGCTTTTGGAATCCAATTTTGACAATGTTCGAGCCCGAATTTGGAAATTTGACATTAGATAGGAATTGTAGCCAGCTAAAATAGCTTTGTAATGCCGCCGGAACCAGTTGATTTGGAGTCCGGATGAGAAAGTTATGCTCGACTTCGTGGACACTACCGAAGATGTTGAGGGATCCTCTCTTCTAATTTGATTTTATTTTCCTAATTGCAACTCTTTTATTACTCTTTGATCATTTTTGCTCCATGGACACCTAATTATCAATTTGTACCTATAGGATACTAAATCCACCAAGTAAAACAAAAATATAAATTAATCCATAAAAAAATCCACGTAAACGTGAACGTTGAGTGTTATTTCTACACTCCACTGTATCTTTTGTATTTAGTGTTTTTGCTATTGTTTGGTTATGCGCATTAAAGTCCTAGTGTTGTATTTCGTGTTTTTAAGAACGTTGTTGCGAATGCACTTTTGCACATATTTTTTACATGTACGTTTGTGCATGTCCATTTGAGCGAGTATGTTTGTGCATGTTTGTGGATTTGTATTAATGTCCTAGGATTGTAGCTTGTGTTTTCATGATCCTTTTTGCGAATGCACTTTTGCGTGAGTACTTTTATGCATGCTTTACTTTTACTTATGTGTTTTGTAGCGAGTGTTTTTGTACACGTTTTTTGATGCGCATTCGTGTCCTCGAACTGTAGCACGTATTTTCATGATCGCTTTTGGAATCCAATTTTGATCATGTTCGAGTCCGAATTTGGAAATTTGACATTAGACAGGAATTGTAGGCAGCTAAAATTGCTTTCTAATGCCGCCAGAACCAGTTGATTTGGAGTCCCGATGAGAAAGTTATGCTCGACTTCGTGGACACTACCGAAGATGTTGAGGGATCCTCTCTTCTAATTTGATTTTATTTTCCTAATTGCAACTCTTTTCTTACTCTTTGATCATTTTTGCTTCATGGACACCTAATTATCAATTTGTACCTATAGGATACTATATCCACCAATTAAAACCAAAATATAAATTTATCCATAAAAAAA